GGAAAACACGGGAGGCAGCGGGAGCTGAGCCCGAGGCCCCGACCCGGCACCGACCCGGCCCCTCCTCCCCTCGGACAGAGGGACACGGGAGAGGGCTCGGGGAGGAGGAGGAGGGATCCCAAGGATCCAGGGATCCCGAGGACCGGGGGTCCCAAGGATCCAGGGATCCGGAGGAGCAAAGATCTGGGGTCCCAGGGACAGGGGATCCCAAGGCATCAGGGGGCTTGGGTATCCCAGGGGCTCAGGGATTATGAGGATTCAGAGATCCTGAGGATTTGGGGATCCCGAGGACTCTGGGATCGTGAGGATTCAGGGATCCCAAGGATTCAGGGATCCCGAGGACTCACTAACATGGGAAACTCAACATCCCCAGGGCTCAGGGATCCCAAGGACTCAGGACTCCCAAGAACCCACATGTCCAAGGACCCAGGGATCCCAAGGACCCACATGTCCGAGTGCCAAGACATCCCAAAGTCCCAGGATCCTGAGGACCCAGGGATCCCAAGACCCACACGTCCCAAGGACCCACATGTCCCAAGGGCCCACGTGTCCAGGATCCCAAGGGCCCAGGATCCCGGGCATCGGGGTGCCCAGATATCCCAAAGATCCAGAAATCCCAAGGAACCAGAGAACCAGGTGCCCGGATATCCCAAAAATCCAGAAATCCCAAGGATCCAGACATCCAGGTGCCTGGGTATCCCAAGGACTCACGGATCCCAAGGATCCAGACATGCAGGTGCCTGGGTATGCCAAGGATCCAGATATCCCAAGGAACCAGGAATCCCAAGGACCCAGCAATCCCAAGGACCCAGGAATCCCACGGCTCCCAGTTTCCAGCCCCCCAGCCCACCCCGTCCCCCCTCTCATGGTGACAATCCGGGTGTGTCCCCCCCCCATCCCATCCCATCCCCCCCTCCCGGTGCCCGGGGCTGCCCCGTCCTGCCCACGCTCGGCCGCTCCCGCCGCCCTCCTGCCCGGGGTCCAAGGGGCTCCCGGGATCCGCTTCAGGGCTCCCGAAGACTTTGCCCCCCAATCCTCCCCCTCGGGGGGGTGAAACAAGCCCCGGGGGGGGGTGTTTGGGGGTCCCCCCCCCGTTCTGGGGTCGGGGGGTTTCCCGGGTGAGGGTGAGGATGAGGATGGGGAGGGCGGGATGATGATCCCGGAGCCGGGGGAGGGGGATCCCGGCGTGGGGGCGGCGTGTCCGGCACCGGCGATTCCGCCCCGGGAACGTCTCCGTTGATCCGTGGCGGGATCGGGCCCATCCGGAGTCAAACGTTAACTGGGACCGGGGGCGGCTTTAAAAGGCAGCGGGGTCGGGGTCGGGGTCGGGGCCGGGGCCATGGGCGGCCCAGGGTGGTGACGGCCGGGAAGCGGCTCCGGGCAGAGGGATCGGGGGGTGGGAGAGGCCACGCGGTGACTGGAGCGACGGACGGGTGAGTGGAGCTGGGGAGAGACCCCTGGGGTGGGCAGGGAGCGACCGGGAAAGAACTCGGAGCTCAGCGGATCAATAGAGGGGAAGGGGGATCAATAGATCCATCAATGCAGAGGAAGGGTCATCAATAAATGGATCAATAGAGAGGAAGGGTGATCAATAGATCCATCAACAGAGAGGAAGGGTGATCAATAGATCAATCAAGAGAGAGGAAGGGTGATCAATAGATCAATAAAGAGAGAAGAAGGGTGATCAATAGACCAATCAATAGATTGGTCAGTAAAGGGTGATCAATAGAAAGCTCAATGGACCAATCAATAGAGAGGAAGAGTGATCAACAAATTGATAAATAGAGAGAGGAAGGGTGATCAGGTGATCAAAGAAAACCTGATCAATAGAAAGCTCAGCAGAGAGAAAAGCTGATCAATAGTAACGTTATTGGTCATCAGTTGATCGATGAGTAAATGAGAGATCAATTTATCTGTGACAGAGATCCACGGACCATGAGATGGATCAATAGGGATCCACCCAGATCAATAGGCTGATCAATAGGTCCATCAACAGGTTAATAGATTGATCAATAGATCCATCAGTAGGTTAATAGATTGATCAATGGATCCATCAACAGATTAATAGATCAGTCCATAGATCAATAGATTGATCAGCAGAAACATAAGGAGCAATCAATCAATAAATAGGTTCTGCACTAATTGATCACCAAATCCTAGATAAGGGAGATCCAGTGATCAGTAATTTATTGATTGAGGAGGAACCCACAGGGTTGATCGAGAGGGAGATCAATTGATCAGTCAATAGGGGGGGGATCAATAAGTTGATCACTGGACCCGTGGAGATCATCAGAGAATCAATTTATTGGAGGGGCAGCAGAGAAATCCATCAATCAATCGATCGATCCATTGACCGAGGGGGGGAGGGAGGGGCTGAGGGAGGGGGCGGGGCTGAGGGAGGGGGTGGGGCCAGAGGAGTGTCCGGAGTGTCCGGAGTGTCCGGAGCCGGAGAGTCCGAGAGCGGCCGAGGGAGGAGGAGGAGGAGGAGGAGGAGGAGGAGAAGGAGCAGGTGGGGATCGATCGATCGCGAGGGATCATGGTGGGAGGGACCTTGGAGGGGCTGAGGGGACAGGAGGGAGAGGGGACTGATCGACTGATCGATTGATTGATTGATTGATCGATAATGAGAGGGAGGGAGGGAACTGATAGCCAGGAATAATCAGTGATTGAGAGATCAATAGAGTAAGAGGGAGGGGGATTGATCAATAGATTGACAGATCAATAGATTGACAGATCAACAGAGTGAGAGGGGGATTGATCAATAGATATCAGATCAATAGACTGACAGATCAATAGAGTGAAAGTGCCAGAGAGGTGGATTGATCAAAGGTAACAGATCAATAATTGATCAAAGGTAACAGATCGATAGATGGGGAGGGTGATCGATCAAGGGATCTATAGAGAGATCGAAGGATTGGCAGACTGATCAATCAGCAGACACCCTGATAGGGATCAATCGATCAGTCAATGGCGATCGATAGATCCACCCCTGGATCCATCCCTTGGTCCAACCCTTGGTCCAACCCTCACCCTTGGATCCACCCCCGGATCTACCCCCAGATCCACCCCCGGATCCACCTCTGGATCCATCCCTTGGCCCATTCCTTGATCCGACCCTTTCCCTTCATCCATCCCTGGATCCACCCCTGGAACCACCCCTTGGTCCATCCCCTGAACCACCCCTTGGACATTCCTTGACCATTCCTTGACCATCCCTCGGCCCATCCCTCAGCCCATCCCTCACCCTCCTCCAAGCCAACCCTTGGATATTCCTTGATCATCCTTGGCCCATTCCTTGACCATCCCTTAGCCCATCCCTCAACCCATCCCTCACCCTCTTCCAAACCACCCCTTGGACATTCCTTGACCCTTCCTTGGCCATTCCTTGACCATCCCTTGGCCCATCCCTCAGCCCATCCCTCACCCTCCTCCAAACCACCCCTTGCCCATCCCTTTGCCCATCCCTGGGCTGGGACGTGCCCGTCCCTCACCCTCTTCCCCTTCCTCTCCCCAGCTGATCCATCCCCGTTCCCGCTCCGTCCCCGTTCCCGCTCTGTCCCCGCCGCCGCCGTGGCCATGTCCTTCGTGGAGCTGCTGGCCCGGCTGGGCGGGATGGGCCGCTTCCAGGTGACGTACGTGGCGGCGCTGGCCGTGCCGCTGCTCATGCTGGCCAGCCACAACCTGCTGCAGAACTTCACCGCCGGCGTCCCCGAGCACCACTGCCGGCCCCGCGCCCCCAACGCCAGCGCCGGACCCGTGCCCCTGCTCGTGGCCGTGCCCCTGGACGGACACCGGCGGCCCCAGAGCTGCCGGCGCTACGTGGAGCTCCAGTGGCACCTCCTGGAGGCCAACGGGTCCACCAGTGGGGTGGCCAACGGGGTGGCCAACGGGGTGGTCAACGGGGTGGTCAATGGGGTGGCCAACGGGGTGGCCAACGGCACGGCCGGCGACGCGCCCACCGAGCCGTGCCGCGATGGCTGGACCTACATGGACGGCGTCTTCACCGACACCATCATCACCGAGGTGAGGAGGAGGGAGGGAGAGGGGACCCCCCAGAGCCCCCTTTCCCCCCGAGATGGGGACACGGCGGCGGCGCCGGGGCGGTGACGGACCCCCCGTGTGTCCCCCCCTCCCCGGGCAGTGGGACCTGGTGTGCGAGTCCAAGCGGCTGCGGCAGCTGGCCCAGTCCATCTACATGGGCGGGATCCTGCTGGGATCGGGGCTCTTCGGGGTCCTCTCCGACAAGTGCGTGGGCAAAGCACCCCAAATCCTCCCATTCAGCCCCAAATCCCCCC